TTTTTTTTTTTTTTTTTTTTTTTTGTCTAGACAAAAAGTTGTATGAGAACCAAGTTGTACATTTTAGAAGCTGAAATTTCACCTCGGGCATTAATGGGTATAGCTAGGGCGTTCATAACACACCCGAGGGGGCTACTACGCTCATTGCGCACTTGCATCATCACCAGAGCTTAGCTACCACTTCGCCGAGCTCCTACACCTACCAGAACGTCGAATCATCACGTGGCTGCTAAAACAAGCTAAACTTCACACCGCGCCCATAAGACCCTCTCATGGTCGAAGGATCCACAGCAACCTAAATAAGCCTCGCTTACTGGTATCTGAGCAATTCTTTCCGTTGCTTTTATAGAACTTCCCTCCTGTGTTAGCAAACCATCACCTATTAATACAACACCAACATTATTTGATTCTAAATGTCAAACATCGATGCAAAGGTTAGATTAAACCACCTCTATCGACCCAACTAGTCCTCTAACAAGCAAGTAAGCCAACTAGTAGGTTATCTCTCTACATTAGAGCTTTGGTCAGTGGCGAGTGGAAGGGCATCGCTAGGATCACAAAATATTTAATATCTCTTTATAAATCTTTTAATTAAGAAGATAAATATTTCACTAGATGATCATAAACGACTCAATCTTAATTCTAAACAAGTTATGAATTCTTGGTTGTGACGGGTTTGTCTATTGGTTAATTCAATATATCTACTATTTTAGAGATAAGTAGATGAGTGGTTCACTTAAGTACTGATTTCGAAACATGAACCATCGACCCTTATCCCTCCTACGGGCTCGAGAGAGATTAAGTTTATGATTGAATCATAAAAAAATTGTTAATTATAGAATCAAGGGTGATGGGTCTACGATAGCAGTCGCGTTAATAACCACACATCTAGAACGGTACCGACGATGGTTTAGCCGTGGCTAGGTCTAGGTCGTCGAGTTGCGTGCAAATTATGATATGAATTGAAATTTGAAAAATAATTTTAAATCTGAATTAAAAGGAAAATAATAATAATAAAAATAAAAGATGGCCAATGGAAATAGGATAATTGGATATTTGTATAAATAATAATTTATGTTGCGGTGGATTTGGTTGTGGCCGGGAGGGTTCAGCAAGTTCCTACTCCAATTTGACTCGTTCCGATCATCCTCACAGTTCAATCACAACAGGTCGCTGCCTTTTCCCGGCGGAGAGAGAGGCGGAGAGAGAGGCGGATGGGTGCAAACAGTGAGGCCAACCAAGATGGCTCCGACGAGCAGCAGAAGCGGTCTGAGATCTATACCTATGAGGCGCCATGGCACATCTACGCGATGAACTGGAGCGTCCGGCGAGACAAGAAGTACCGGCTAGCAATCGCTAGTCTTCTGGAGCAGTATCCCAACAGGGTGGAGATTGTCCAGCTTGATGATTCCAGCGGCGAGATCCGCTCCGACCCTAACCTCTCCTTTGAGCATCCCTATCCTCCCACCAAGACCATCTTCATTCCAGACAAGGAGTGCCAGCGCCCTGATCTTCTCGCCACTTCCAGCGATTTTCTCCGCGTATGGCGCATCTCAGACGATCCTTCATCTGTGGAGCTCAAGAGTCTTCTTAATGGCAACAAGAACAGCGAGTTTTGTGGCCCTCTAACCTCCTTTGACTGGAACGATGCTGAGCCAAAGCGCATCGGAACCTCCAGTATCGACACGACCTGCACCATTTGGGATATTGAACGCGAGACCGTCGACACGCAACTTATCGCCCACGATAAGGAGGTTTATGACATCGCTTGGGGCGGTGTTGGTGTATTTGCTTCCGTTTCCGCCGATGGTTCTGTCCGCGTCTTCGATTTGCGTGACAAGGAGCACTCTACCATCATCTACGAGAGTTCTGAGCCTGACACTCCATTGGTTCGGCTAGGCTGGAACAAGCAGGACCCGAGATATATGGCCACGATTATCATGGACAGCGCCAAGGTTGTCGTGCTTGACATTCGCTTCCCGACGCTCCCCGTCGTCGAGTTACAGAGGCACCAAGCTAGTGCGAACGCCATTGCATGGGCGCCTCATAGTTCTTGCCACATTTGCACTGCAGGGGATGATTCTCAGGCCTTGATTTGGGATTTGTCGTCCATGGGCCAACCAGTCGAAGGTGGCCTCGATCCCATTCTTGCCTACACCGCTGGAGCAGAAATCGAGCAGCTGCAATGGTCCTCTTCCCAGCCGGACTGGGTTGCGATTGCCTTTTCCACCAAGCTTCAGATTCTGAGGGTATGATCCATGTGAGTGATTCCATGTAACTTCTCTACCAGAAAACATAATGGGGTCTACTTGTTCTAGCATGTTCGTTCCATTTCTTTACGCAACAACACTTTGGCCATACTACTAATTGTTGTACAATTCCGCCATGAACCCATAATATGCCTTCAGCTGTTCGTACTCTGTTCTTTTAACGAAATTTCCTTTTGGTATATGCAGCAACACCTAGCTTTGGTTCTTCACCTACACAGATAGTCATGTCTGAGAACCATCATATGTAACTATGTTCTTGAAACTTGATTCAACACTCGAATTTAGATTTATCCTTCCTAGTGCTTTCTATATTGATGCTTTTTCTGATAAATATTATCGAACACTTATGAAGTATGAATATTTTGTGCATTTCTCTCAACTTGGAAATTCCTTCTTTCCATACAAAGTTTCTGCTGGATTTAAAGTGTGCTAACTATCTGTTCTGGAATGGGGAGGAACTTGATGAGAATTAAGTCCATTGTTCGAAGCACATAGCCTTATCATCGACGAATGTTAGAATTGAATGATGATAAATTTACACGACGACAAGAATTTAGAAGAGGGAAAATGTTATCTAAAGGTGAAAAGTTTCGAATTCGTCTCGGAAGTTTGTAAGAAAGTGGTAGGTATTCAATTTTTTCTGATCTTTGATTACCTCTTTTCTCATCCACCAATTCAATGAGTGTATGTCATGTAAGTTTATCATCAGCAAATTTTAACATTAATCAACAGTGGGGAAAAGCCTGCAGGTGTGCAAGGTGCTGTCTTCACCTTATTTTCCTCAAGTGAGGTGATCACCAATACATGAAGCTTTAAGGTGTTTCCAAGTATTTACTTCAACAGAATTTACTTTTATATGATTTGATGTTGAAGGGCTTATAATTGAAGAACAGGGATGAAAAGGAAGGCTTGTTCCTATCTGCATCTTCGCTCGAGTCTCTTCGGTACCAACCTATAAGCTATCGCCATCAAAGGACTCTGAACCCATCTACACAATCCTCCTCCATTGGTATTGTCTGCTTTTCTCGTTCTTTTTCCTTTCTCCCAGTTCTCACGCTGAAAGTTGAATCAGAACAAACAGGTTAGCCTTTTTGTTTGATTTAATTACTCATCTTTGTAACATTAATCATTTATTATGACAAAATAAGAAAGATTTCTTATTGCTCATGACTTTTCTGTATCTTTAATGTCAAAACACTTCAATTTTGTTTGATAATTGATATTTTAGACTTACATTTAAAGTTTCTTATTTCCTGATTTTATTTTCTAAGGTATTAGGTATTGTGCATCATCATATCATTCCATACTCAGGTTTAGCCTTGTCTCTTCGATCTTCTGCACCTTGGAACATGTTGCACTTTTTAAGAAGATTGCTATATAGTAAAGCTATGTTGTTCCATAGAAAAGGTAGGAGAGTAAATGTTTTGATCCTTTGGAATAAGTAACTACGTAGAAGAACCAAAATGGAATTTAAGGCATTATTTACATGCAATAGTGAAATAGATTACAAGAGGGCTCTGTAGTCTACCTGTGTTCTTATCTGTTTAGCTTTTAGGGATGCAAGAACAAAAAAGAGTCCAGCATTTCATTTACATCTAATTTTTGGAGTGACAATGGTATGGCTGGTTTTAACTTGATCATGTTTTTTTTTTTTTTTTTTTTTCAGTTGACAGGCTTTAGTACGATGGTTGTTTTGAATTTTCGTTTTGTCGAACTGTCATGGACACTTCGAGTTAGTTTTTGCTATGGAGTCAACCAAAAGTCTAGCACCCATTCTACCTTTTATTCCCCTGAATTCTGTGTTTAGAAAGCTAACTCAAGAAGATTAGCAACATGTTTTCTATGATTCACAATTTGGCTGCTGGTTGATGGCTCACACAGATTGAAATCTTTCTTTGAATCTTGTGATGGCATTGCCATTGTGATTCAAACAGTAGAAAATTGTAACAGTCCCTACCAAATGAAACATTCATAGATTTTCTGGCCCATTGGCAGGAGATTCCTCAACTTAAACCTTACACCTTAATGCCATATAACATATCTACTGCAGTCCTAGTGGTGTGATACCATGCTCATGGTGACATTGCTAAGAGAAGATCTTAAAGGAAAAAATAAGCTTTAGGCAGCAATCCCTTCCGACCAGAAGAGTTGAATACAAGGCATTTTCAATCAAAGCTTCCTTCAGGTTCTACCGTCAATACCCTTGCTTAACTCCTTGTTCGGTAAACTAGTCGCTGGTTGTCAACTTTCTGTTGTCTTTCAATCCATTAATGGTGTGCCAAACCACACATCCTTATGTTCAATTTAAGTGTTATACATCCTTTACAAGTGATTGTTAGGATCGCACAACAATGTATACACTCGAACACAAAAAACAAAATGAAAGGAGAATATTGGTTAAAGGATTTGTATTAATGACTCAGCTTATTATATATAGTTTTAACAGATATAACTGTCTACTGTATATTTATATAACTATCTACTGTATATAACTATCTACCCTAACCTATAGCTTTTTACTATACATAGATATTTATGACAATTTACGTATGTCATTTACCATATATAGCTAAGTTTACGTATCTAACCAAAATAAGATCTTAGATTGGCATCTTGATACAGTGATTTACCATAATAATAAATAGAGTCAATGGCACGCCATGGGAAGAGCTGCTTCTTTCTTGCTTGATAGGGGGGCTCACCAAGGCAGACTAAAAGTGCGCTCTCCGAGCGATAGTCACCCATCACACGGCTCTCAAACCAAAAATATGGTATTCAGCTTACCATATATAATTTTATCAGATATAACCATCTCCCTACCATAACCTATAGTTTCTTACTCTACAGATATATTTATGACAATTTACATGTCATTTACCATATATAGCTAACTGTTTATTAAGTTATAAACAACCAGCCGTCTTCATAACCTAACGCTCCATAACCTAACAGTGTGCATATTGAAAATTTTAGTAGACTATTCACCTTTGAATAATGTACTTCCATTTATGCACAATTTGCTACCATAGAGGAATAAAGGGAAGGGTGGATCAGGGGACTGGTTGTATTTTGGGTAGAATATGTCAAGCTAACTTAAGTCAAAGAAATGAGTCAATAGTCTGGGAATATAATTTATAACTACTATACGATTACGTGGAAATATTCTTTTTATGTGGAAACATTCATTTAAAATTCTTTTTATGTGGAAACATTCATTTAAAATAATCTATAAAATGATGTCATGGACGGTATGCCTTAAGAGTTTTAAAATAAAATATCATTTATTTATTATCGTTCGTACTTGACAGTGATAGTGATGGAGTTTTAAAATAAAATGTGTTTGTTCAACTAAGATATAAATAGCATTATACTATTATTGTACCATTGACTAAGAGTTTAAAAGTTCAAGTCATTCATCTCACTACATATTGTTACAAAAAAAAATAACTTATGGAAACAAATCATTGTGCGGTTTTAAGCATCCCAGAGTTCATACTATATGATAATTCAGTTCATACTATATGATAATTCAATGCCTAACTCCACCTTTTGATGGAAGTTCGTGCATTTCCCTATCAATGCCCTTGACTCCTCGTCGGGGCCGACAGAGTTCATTACGAGTGGGTATGAAATAAGTGGAAGAGGCAATTTTCTAACTTCAATTGTTGTGCCTAAATTTAACAAATATCAAGATAACATGAAGCATAAATAGCAATATAGCTCCTAATTTGAGATGAGTAAAGTGTATTGATACTAATATGCATTAGTGTGTAAGACATACCAATATAACAATATAATAATATAGGCTTGCTTGGAAGGATTTTTCAAGTGCTTTAATAAGAGATTCGATCATGATCTAACTAAATTAGTTTCTTCGATTCTAATTGTGGCTCATTAGAGACATAGCGAGCACCTCTGCAACCATGGACATTCTCAACAATCTCTCATTTGATTAACATATACATTGGATTTCGATTTCCTAGTATCTTCTCAATTGCCATGGATGTTACCATAGATACAACAATACATGAATTATCTTGAGATCTTTTTTAATCGTCTTTTTAACTTATTGCTTAACATTAATCTATCGAAAATTTTTGTACTAATAAATTGAGAGCTTTCAAGTCTCTACTCATAGCTAAACTAGAAGCACCTAGACAACCCTCACATAAGATTATGCGATTGGAAACATCCTGACATGACCCACACTTTGTCTGTGTAACAGTCCAAGCCCATCTTTAACCGATATTGTCCTCTTTGAGCTTTCCCTTCCAAGCGTCTCCTTAAGGTTTTAAAATGCATCTGCTAGGGAGAGATTTCTACACCCTTATAAAGACTATTTTGTTCTCCTCTCCAACCGATGTGGGATCTCACATTCCGTGCTCTAAAACTTCTCGTTCGGGATTCAGAAAGAAAAGGGTGAGGAGTTAGAGGGCATGAACAGTTTGAGGTTGGCCCCACAGATGGATGTGCAAGTAAGTTATAATTGGTAGGAAATGAGAGCATAGGGAGTGGAGGGGAGAGGGAAGAAATTTGAAACAATATCACAAATCACACAGTAGAAGATACAGAGGCAGGAGTAACCACAGCCATTCATTGAGTGAGAGGCTATTATCCATAATCTCATCCTCTCTTGGCCTTCCATCATTCATTCAAAGCCATTCAAAGAAATATTATATACAACCTTCTCAGTTTCCCATCTCTCTACTGCTTCAATTTGCTTCTTTCACCACCTCCTGCTGCTGCTGCTGCTGCTTTCCTCCGCTCGACCATGGCTACGGCTACTCTATCAGTAGCCAAACCATCTCTCCAGGTTCCTTCCTGCATTACTCGTACTATTCCTTCCCTGCAATCTGTTAATCTTTTGCATTTGAAAACATTAGTATATTCTTTTGCATATATAGCAGGCTAATCTAAAGGGATTTGGAGAATTCTCCGGGCTCCGTAACTCGTCAACCTGTCTTCCCTTTGCGAGGCGAACCTCCGATGATTTCCTTTCCGTCATTGCCTTCCAAACCTCTGCTGTGAGTTCCCTGTCCTTAAAAGCTTGACATCTTCTTGAAACAGTATGCATTTTCATGAGATTAGCAATCTTTTGTTTGGAGTAATCAATTCTAACCTACGTCCACTCAATTCTTGAAGGTGGGAAGCAGCGGAGGATACAAGAAAGGGATTGTCGAAGCAAAGCTTAAGGTAGCCATCAATGGGTTTGGAAGGATTGGAAGGAATTTCTTGAGGTGCTGGCATGGTCGCAAGGATTCCCTACTTGATGTCGTTGCCATCAACGACAGTGGAGGTGTCAAGCAAGCTTCTCACCTCCTCAAGTACGACTCGACTCTCGGCATCTTCGAAGCCGATGTCAAGCCTGCCGGAGATGAGGCCATTTCAGTCGATGGCAAGATCATCCAGGTGGTCTCCAACCGCAATCCTCTCAACCTTCCCTGGAAGTGGGTGTTCAAAGTCTTTGCTTCTAGTTTTCATTCATTGTTTCTATGATATCAGAAATGAATGGATGGATAAATAACAATGCAGGGACTTGGGAATAGACCTGGTGATTGAAGGAACTGGCGTGTTTGTTGATAGAGAGGGTGCAGGGAAGCACATTGAGGCTGGAGCAAAGAAGGTCCTAATTACAGCACCTGGGAAGGGTGACATTCCGACCTATGTTGTCGGGGTTAATGCCGATGCTTACAGTCACGACGAGCCTATCATCAGCAATGCTTCTTGCACTACCAATTGCCTAGCTCCTTTCGTCAAGGTCCTCGACCAGAAGTTTGGTAATGCAGACTGAATCCTATCTTAAATTCTTTAACTTAAGGCTCTAGCACAAAATCTGGTAAATTTCGGGTTTATGAATGGATGGATTTGGTATAAATATATGGCAGGTATCATCAAGGGAACAATGACTACCACTCACTCCTACACTGGTGACCAGAGGCTACTTGATGCCAGCCACCGCGACCTCAGGAGGGCAAGAGCTGCTGCACTCAACATTGTCCCAACCTCCACAGGAGCAGCCAAAGCTGTTGCTCTAGTCCTTCCTTCTCTTAAGGGAAAACTTAACGGGATTGCACTTCGTGTGCCTACTCCAAATGTTTCTGTTGTTGACCTTGTTGTCCAGGTTTCTAAGAAGACCTTTGCTGAAGAGGTGAACGCTGCATTCCGGGAAAGTGCCGAGAAGGAGCTCAACGGTATCCTCTCCGTTTGTGACGAGCCCCTCGTTTCGGTCGATTTTAGATGCTCTGATGTCTCCTCGACTGTCGACTCTTCATTGACTATGGTTATGGGAGATGACTTGGTGAAGGTCATTGCTTGGTATGATAACGAGTGGGGTTACTCTCAACGGGTTGTTGATTTGGCTGACATTGTTGCCAACAACTGGAAATGAGCATGAGTGGTTTTCTCATTCTAAGCTAACCACATTTCCAGCTTGTTTTCTGCATTTCTGCTTAATTTTTCCCTTAAATTTGTAATGCGAACACGAAAAACCATTTTCCACTACCCACCATCCAATAAATATATATGCCACAAAACTATGCAGAGTGATGAAGTTCCAAGAGTCAAGTCCCATTCGAGATTTCATTAATATACATTCGAGATTTCATGCTCTATAGGATATGCTAAACCGAATTCAGTTATGCTCTAGTCGAACAGTGACACCAGAATCTAGTTCTTGAGTCCGTAATGCGACTGTAATTTTATTAAGATAAGGATTCATAAGTGCAGTAATACAACACAATGTACGTATGACAAACTATTTACACAAAATGAAACAAAAGTAGAAAAATTGGGATCAATCATTTTTTTAAAAGAAAAACAAGAATTTTTGCAGTGTAGTACTCAAATACCTAGTGATGCTATACTCGCAACAATCTGTTTTCCTAGAACAACCAATGTTTTTTTCTTGGCTTTTGTTGAACTGGAACATCTGCAAGACAGATAAACATATTATTAAAAGATCCACGGTTCCCTTCTAAGCACATTCACTCTGAATAAACCTCGCTTCTATGGGAACTGGAAAAAGTTGGAAGAATAACCAAACCTTGAACTGCATAAAGTGAATTGTAATGAACCTCAGACCAGAAACTTAACCAAAGCTCTGCATTGCAAAGATAAAGAAGCTGTAAGAACCCTAGTGTTCCAAAACTACAGCAAAGCATTTAGTGTGTAAATTCGAATGTGTTGACATTCAAATGACTCAGCTCTATGCATTGAGAAACTGAGATAAAGAAGAAATATATATCAGAATTGCAGGTAGTTTGGAGATAGCCCTGACACCAAGTCCCGTCCTATGTAGTTTCAGTGAATATATTGAATTTCATCAATCTCAAATATCTTGCAAAATGTTTTATAATTACAGGTTCCATCTTAAATTTGTAGTCGAGGAGATTTTAAGTCCAAGCAGCACAAATGGTCACTTCTTCCATATTCATAGCCAGAACTCTTGGAGGGAAAAGAACAATAAAAGAAAGATATGAAAAAACAAGTTGGACTTATTTCACCCAAACACTTTAATTTGGAAAGTATGCATGCGTGTATGTGTCTGACACATGTTAGACACTCACAAACTTAATAGCACGATAGACAGTGTCAACACAAGTTGTATAAAGTTAAAATAAGCCTAATGCTTATTAGACATGTTTTCAAAACTTGTTAAGCATACTAAATAGACAAAAATAGTACTATTAAGACAAAATTAATCAATTTTGAGCCGAAATAGATCGAATTAATTTTTTTTTCAATATATAAATGCATAAACTTATTCATTTAATTTCCTTCCTATGTCTTTCTTGTGTCTGAGTCCTAGATTTATACAAAATGACATGTCACTATATTCGTGTTGAATTTATGTCTTATATATGTATCCATGCTTCTCAGCTTACCACGCTTTGGAGTCTGAGATCGCGGAACAATTTCAATGAAACAAGTGTCTCTGAATGATGTCAGGAGGCAAATCTTTGCCACAAACTGCACATAATCAAGCAACTACATCAAGAAATAAACAGAGAAGGTATGACTAAATGTTCTAGTGGAAAATCTATAGTTTTGGAATATATATATTTGATAAGAAACCATTTTATTTATATACGAATTTTACAAAAAGGATGGTAAGTACATGATGATTATAAAAGACATTCCCAATTTCATAAAAGAGATGCATAACTATACGAACAAAGATCTTAGACACCTAGAGATTGCATAATAAATAACATGACAAAAAGATGCATCAAAAGTGAGCTATTTGTCTAAGAACGCCCTTTGAGTTAGTTTGACTTCGTATAAAGCCTTTGGTGGGAGATTTAAAGCAGTCTTGATAGTCAATGGTGGGGGAGGTTGGGGTTTGTAGGTCGCCTTTAATGGAGGAGCAAGTGGGTAGTTGGATATGAGTTTAAAAAAGACATCCAAACCATTTTGATCTTCCCCAAAGGAATAAGTAGCTTGTTTAAACCACCATTGTCACGAAACAGTGCAACCTCTATATGTGTACCTTTTTTATTGGTGATTTTTTCAACCCAAATGGTCTGTTCGACGAATCTTTCCTCTCTAAAAAATTTCTGATTCGAAGTAGCTGTGAGAAGGGCTCGGATAACCGTTACCAGCCATCTCAAAGAACCCCAATGTGAGATAATGAAAGAAACTCTATCATTGTGGTCTCTGTAAGTTTCACCCTTGTGCCTCTAATTCTGCTGTCGATCTCAATGGAATCTTTCTATCAATGGTGGTAGTTCTCTTCTTCAAGGGAAGGGGTGTCGCCATGACCTCCACACTATATCACTCTCGATGCATCAATAATTTTGGGAATACAATTTAGAACTGGATAAACAAATTCTTTGAAATCATTTTTCATTCATCAACGTATGATCACCCATCTCTTCCACCCTATCTCTCCTTCACTCTCTCGCTCTCTCTATTTTATCTTAAACTCCAAGCTCAATGGTAGTTGGAGAAACACCTAATCCAAGAGCCTGACTTCATTCAGAAGTAATAACCCTCTACAATAATCCAATGTCCAGTAATTTTCGTCAATAGTCTACATTGCCAAGGATATGAAAACTTTCTGCTCATGCCCCTTGGTACATCTTTTATACAAAATCCTAAATTGATAATGCCATGCAACAATCACTCATTAAGGTAGCAAATACAATGCCATTTTTAGCTTTAGCTTATATGATATACCTTATCAGCTGCAGCTTGTAGGGTAATATGGTCCCCCCATTCACCAGATCTGCATCATATAGTAAGTAATCAGAAAGGAAATCTTTTCCTCAAGAACGTGTTTAATATCAGTTAATCCACAGATGAACATTGATTCAATGAGAGAGAGAGAGGGAATATGATCTTGAACAATTTCACATACTTCGCCATTTTCTTGTAATAACGACTGAACTTCATTGGAATATAACCCTCATATAGAGAACGGTAGTCCTTTATCTGGAACATGAAAACAAACCCAGATGTGTGATAAGCAGGATATTCACCCTTAGTTGAAAACTCTGTTCACTTTAATTTGGTATCAAAACATGGGTGAGACGTTACCAGTCACAGCTGACAAGTTTAACAGGTCAGATTTAATCTATATATATTATAAAATTCTGTATGTGAGAACACCTCTGATATGACAAAATGCAGACCGAAGTGAAAGATTCTAAAACAGTAAAAGTGAAATTTCAGCGGAAATAATTAGATCTTGGAAAGTCACTTTCTCAAATTACCACTTGTTCTCCCATTCCCAACTACTCGGACCACATGCTACATTAACCCTCCCTACTTCCTCCTTCAATTGCCTAAGCTGAGCTTTTCATCCCAAAAGCAAAAAATAAAAATAAAAATAAAAACCACTAATCTCCCTAGTTCAAGCACCTCAAGGACAATCTACCTGCTTTACAATGTCTTTTCGCACAAGCTTGTGATACTTGGGTGATTTGAACATCTGATCTGAAAGTGCTCGAAACTGCCATATAAGAAGAAAGTAGAGGTAGGTTGTAGATAAACCAGAAGCTTCTACTTCTTACTTAAAAGGTTTACATACCTGACAATTTCCATCACCAGAGACCTTCACTTCATGCAAACCATAGACATTTAACCTGAAACAGAATGCGATAAGAACTACTTCACCACACGTGGTAGGAGAGAGAAGAGAAGCCCAGGGAGATGGAAAATTTTATTGACATTAAACATACACTTGACTTATACCACCATCAGTTTTTATCTGGGTCCTTTTAATGAATTCCCTCTGGACAACACAAGAACATAACGAAAAACAAGGCAATCCTTATTGGACTTAAGATATTATCGCAACTGAATAAGAAGACTGAAATTAAGAAAGAAAGAAAACTCATAATGAACTTAGTTCACGTTGCGAAAAGAGGGAGATACAGAATCAAACCGCACCCTGAAAGAATAAAAATGTAGAATAGAATTTGAACGGCTCAATCTAGACTGTAGGATAAATAAGCTGACGCAGACTCTCAAATATCCTTAAGTTGTCGAAGTTAGTGATCATAATGACTTGCTATTCTTCATTATGATTGTTAAGTTTTAGTGAGATTTGTTTGAACTATTCCTCAATCAAGGAATTAACTATTGCACAGAAAATTACATCCCTTTAAGTCTAAGCCTAAACAATAATGTCAGCAATTAGACAAGTGGATCTGTGACCTTCAACACGATCATGATTACAAAACCATCCATCTAGTAAATTTAAGAACTTGCACTATCTCAACTCCCTGGAAGTAATTTTCAATCTACTGATGCTTAATCATGAATGTGCATGTCTCTTTATATATATATATAGGGAATGTGCATGTGTCTCTTTTAAATATTCTTTGACAGTTGTTATTTATGTTAAATTTTATCATTATTCTACAAAGAGAAAGGGTGGTATTTGATATATATAGAGCCATTTGTTCGCCAAGCGGGCAAGCTATCTTTTACTTTGAAAAATGCGGGAGACGTACCTCTGAAGAAGCCTATGATATTCCAAACTGGCATCACTTTGGTTTGGGATATACAAATTTATCCTTGGAGCATGCTGGAATACCATGAAAAGTGAAGTTTAACATATGAGGTTAGGTAATATCTTAACATATTAAAAAATTTGTAATATCTCTCTCAAAATTTGTAAAATAGTTTATGAACAATGACGGAACAAATAGAACAAGCACCTCAGAACATTCTATCAGAATAAAATTTTAGGACAACGATCTAAAAAGAGAGAGTTTCACAATTAAATCTGAGAAGTAGTTATTAATAAGCTTCTTTGATCAGATTCCCCATTTATAGATCGAAACTTTCATAGTTAGTTCCTTAAAACTCGAACCAGCTATAAAGCGATTGATAGTTTTATCTTCATAAGAAAATACTTTTTTTAACAAAAAGGCGTATGCTATAACAAAATGAAAAGAGCAAAGATTCATACAGCAATAGGGGCAAGGTTGGCGAGGCGTCGGGCAATAGCACCGTCTAGCTTAGCATACTCTTCCGTCAAAACAACAGCAATCATGTGATCGTCGTCAACGTCCTCCAGATGAGAGCTCAACGAAGTTGAACTAGAACATTCTCCAAAGTTCGGAGTTCCCGGCCTCATGCTGCCACTTATCAATAACTCGCCAACACTTTGTAAAAGAACGGAAGAAAAAATCCCAAATTTAAGCTGCAGATACAGAAAAAAAAAAAAAAACCGTTGGACGAATGTGAAATTCGAGCTCAATGTATTCAAAAGCGAGAACGAAAATGGTAAATTTCTTGGAGAACACAAAAGCATAATATGGCTAATCTGTTGAGATATATTCTATTCTATTTTCTATATCTCATTCTTAACATAATCCTACAAATGTGCGTGCAACCACCATAACTGGATAATATAAGAAGATGATAAAGAAGGCAAGGAACAACAAACAAATTAAAAATCAAATACAGGAGTTCTTATTACAGTAAAACAGCATGGAACGCGCATAGAACAGACAGACAATGATCTAAATATAAGCACATAATCGATCGCTAAAAGAACGAAACAAAAAACGATAAGGCCTATCTTCTTCAATGATTGGCAGATTACAATTTCCGGTATTAACAACGAAGCAATACAAAAAGAACATCAAGGAAGAACAGAATCAAATTAAGCTGAAAAAGAGGAAAAAAAATCAAATTAACCTGCAACAGCAACGGGCAAAGAGGCGGAAAAGATAAGATGAATGATCAAAGCGGGAGGAAATCAGGAGATTGTTGGAGGAAAGGGTTCGAGAATTCAGAGACGCGTGAAAGTTGAAATGGAAGGGACCCAGGGTGAGCCTGTGGTTTACGCGGGTTCTCCGCCTGGGCGTAACAGTTAATACCCGCAGATGGGACCCAAACCACATCAACCGGACATTTTATTCTATTCCTTGAATTACTTTTTTCTCTTTCTATCATATTAGGGTTGGTTTATATTTAGAAAAAACTATGCTAAACAATGCTCTCCAACAATATATTTTACCTTTCAAAATGGTTCACAAATGGTCTAGGATTGTGGACCATTGACACGGACCCTTGAATGAAAGCGTGAATATTTGAGGTGTAGAAACGACCGTGAAATTTTTTATTGGTTTAAAAGAGGGAATAGAGTGAAAACGATGCAAAAATGATGGAGGTGATAAAATAGAGCGTAGAAGTAGAAGAGGATTCGAGAGAGTTGATTGAAAAATATACTGTCGAAATAAAAAATAATGTGAATGCACAATCAGAAAACTGCAAGAAGACAACTCGAAGGCTGCATTCATGGCAATCATCACTAGTTTCTCCCTCGTTTCTTCTTTTTTTCTCTTGAAAGAGGATAAGGGCTATCCATTGAGTAAAGGGAGGGTTTGCTATAGTGATTCGGGCGGTTGGTGTCCTCTTCCTCTTCGAGAGTTGCGGGTCTTTGTCGCTGCATGAGTGGTAGCTCACGCTCAAAACTCCTCGTACACGAGTCCTAGTCGTTGCGCAGTGATCTGTTTCCCGGCTTCGCTTGCGCGATTTGCAATGATGATTGGTTTCATCCATCCTCGACCTTAATGAAATTGAGTATTAAGGGCGAGTTAGTCAAGCGGTTCACACTAAAATTTAAGCAATGCACGAAACCTACAAGAAGACATCTTACACCAAAATCTCAAACAATTCGCCGATCAAAAAACTGTAAGAAGATAACTACAATCTCAAACAATGCACCGATCAAGAAGATAGCTCACACTAAAATCTCAAACAATACACACCAATCAGGAAGATAGTAGCTCACACTACAATCTCAAACAATGCACACCAATCAGGAAGATAGCTCGCATTAAAATCTCAGACAATGCACCAATCAGATCGTAACTCAAAGTGTCAAGAACATTCTCTCCTTATCAAGTCATTGTGAGAACGAAGAATATTATTGATCCCGACGTAATGAAGGTAACTCAAGTAATAAAAACGTATATTATTGATCAAAAGATTGGAAATTCAAATCCCAAACCAAAAAAACAAATAAAAAAAAACTTGGAAGCTTCTCATATTTTCCACCCTTCTTGAACTAAAAAGGGAGAAAAAAACCAACCACAACGCTGTGTTGAAAAAATGGTTAAATTCCACCTGTGGAAATTCATTTACATGGTACGATTTTCTTTCCTAACCAGCAATAACATTGACCATATCACACCCCAATTAATCATATCATCTCTCTAGTTTCAACAGCTCACTATCACCAATATTTACAATTTTAAGCAAGAACATCCCTCTTTTAGGCTCTACAATCTAATGTTCAGCTACTAGGAAATGGATGAAGCACTGGTTGAAGTAACAACATTCTAGGATCGAGGCCTTCTTTGTTCTGGAAGAAAGAAATTGTTAATTTTGTTTTCAGTAATACTCGACCAAAATGGAATTCATTGACTTCGAACAACAAATAGTCTCCCTTGCAGATAAAATGATCAAAGATTACCTTTCACCGTCTAACTTTTTTGGTTGGAGGAGGCTTCGACAGGTCTCGCAGCTCGGAAACACCCTGACCACACTGAGAGTGACGAAAGCGCACGAAAGCGCAGGTGCATTTCATCAGCCGAAGATCAGAACTTAGTCCATTGCTTACCGCGTGTCGTAACAAAGCTCCAGTACCTCCACAGGCTCACAAATGCCCCAGGTACTGGGAAGTTTCACAATGCCAACAGATGTTTCGGAGAACGGGATCCATAGTTTGTCTTCGTAAACTTTGCGTCGAAACTATGAACACTGCCAATGTAAATGATCTCATAAGACCGAAAATAAATTCGTTAAAAGTAGATAGAGACCTACTTGAAATAGAAATTCTTTCACAAATCTATATCAAGTATACTTCCGTTTCCTCCCGTTTCTGGCCGTGTGCGAAGAATTTACTGTATAATGTGAATTTGAAAGTTCTCGAGGTATAGGTGCTCCAGACGACTTTAAAATCTCGACTAAATCTTGAAATAAATTCTTATTTTCCCCATTCACAAACACTATGGCTTTGCCCTCCTCTCCAAGTCTAGATGCCCGACCAATCTGGTGAACATACTCCTTGATGGAATTTGGCATGTCAAATACAATCACCTGCCTCACACGCAGGAGATCCATCCCTCGACCCAAAATCCCGGTAGCCACCATCACTTGAACGTCTCCCACCAGAAATGACTTCATGGCTTCTCGTCTCTCCTTCATGGACTTGTGCCCGTGAATCGACAATGCCTTTATCCCAGTGGTAACAGTAATTGCATTAGAAAGTAGATCGGCCCCAAGCCTTGAGCCTACATATACTACAAGAGGTGGCATAAAATGTTGCTTGCTTGCTAATATGTCGAAAAGCTTTTGCTTCTTATTCTTTGATTCAACCCAGATAACAAGCTGCTTCAAAGCCTTAGTTGGTTTATTTGACATGCCAGCAGTTATAATAACAGTACCATCTCCCATAGTTCTTGCCATCTTCTCTACTTCCGGAGAGGTAGTTGCGGAATACATTAAGATTTGCGGTCTTGAAAGAGCCGTAAAAATCTGTAATACCTGATCGCGAAAGCCTTTTTGGAGCAAGCAATCCACTTCATCCAGAACAAACGTCTTCAGCTCATCGAATTCAATATCATGCTTCATCAAAAGATCAACCAACCTGCCTGGAGTAGCGACAATCAGCTCAACTCCTTGCTCGATACGATAGACCTGTCCAGCTAGGGCATCACCACCGACAACAAGGGCAGTTTTAAATGGCATGCCTTTTCCAAGCAACTTAGCTTGTTCTTCAACTTGAATGCAAAGCTCTCTAGTAGGTGTAAGAACCATAGCAAGTGGCTTCTTTTCGCCATGGCAATTCTCAAGACGAACACGAGCACAGTAAGAAACTATTGGGAGCAGATAGGACACGGTCTTTCCAGAGCCAGTCTCGGCTGAAACAAGCAGATTTTTACCCAAACAAGCAGCTGGTATAGCTTGCATCTGGACAGCTGTGGGCATATCGTAGCCTGCGGTCTCTAGATTTTGAAGGAGCTTCTGAGGAAGGTTACAGGAAGAAAATGACAATGTAGGAGCACAACCAATGTTTCCCTTTATAACGATTCCAAGTTTTCTCCTGAGCAATTCAGTCTGCTCACAAGTCAAAGAAGATCCCGAACAATTAGAATCCTTAACATAAAAGCACTCATCAGCTGCAGGAAGTTTTTTAGGAGGTGGAAAATCAGAAGGCAGTGCGTTCCTATTAGCCATTTTGCACAGGACTGACTGTTTACATTCCATGCTGCAAATATCATCATCTGTCTCGTCACATATATACTCACCATAGCGACCACAAACAACACATTTAGGTTCGCCAGGCAAAGCCTCTCTCTGATCTTTACATTTCACTTTAACAGCAGATTCTACATTAGAAACAAAAGTTCAAGGAAGATTATACAAAATCCAGGCATTTATTAAGCATACAAAAGTTGCTGGAAAGAAAAAATAAACCACTAGTAAAACCAACGAGATAAATTCCCAAAAGCGATGCAATAATTCTCCTGTTGTGCTTCCATTTTATACAATCTCTTGTTTCAATTAGTTAGTGTAACATGCCAACCATGACTGATCACGTCTATTAGTTCGTCTATAATCATGCATCAACAGACGCGATCAATCATACATTTGGAAATCTAATTGTTCAAAGTGGATCAAAGATAATGCATGGACTTAGGTTCACCTCAATTGCTTTCTTTCAATCATTTGAAAGAAACTAAGCTATGGGGAAGTTAGCATTCAAAATTAACTCCCTCGACGAATACCTTACCAGTTTCTAAACCCAACAACACTACCTGGAACATAGACGCTAAAGATATAACAGGAAAAATAACAAGGTTTTATAAGAAAACTAGGAATCTGCACATTCAAATTATGAAACAATTTCTGACAGGAACTCTGAAAATGATGGATTTGAAACAGGAAATTTGATTGTAGTGAAAATACCATACTCCTAATTTGGACTTATATTAAAACCTAAAGCAGATGCAGATTCACCTATCCGATCCTAGAGAATATTTGCCTTCACATTTTCAGACAAATTAACCATTTACTTGGGCTATTTTTCCTTTCAGCCATAAATCAAAGCAAATTTAGTCCTAGAGCAGCTAACTATGCAGTAAAATTCCTAGGTACATCGTAATCTCCCTACTCCTGTCCCAGTTATTTCAGTTAATTGGCATCATAGTCAATTAGCATGACTACAACGACAGACTTGACAGTTATACAAGTGCATGATAGGTTCCGCCAAACTCAATGGATTGAGAAGAACTAGATTCAAATGTCAAGATATTAGCAAGAATTCACCATGTCGGTATCCGATGAGCAAAAATATTGACAAGTACATTAAAAACATGAATAACAAAATATGTTGGGGCATGAAGGAAAAAAAAAAAAAAAAAAAACCT